GTTAAGACCCTATCTGGTCGGGTCAGGTTTGGGTTCTGGTATCTGTGTGTACAAAATATATAAGTTAAATTATATTAACTATATATTATTATATTTAAACTAAAATTTTCATTTTTATTTCTAGACACTACCTAACCTGCTAGGACCAAATAACTTGGGCCATACCTGGGTCCAAGCGGATCTAGGTCCAAGTTAGACCTAGTCAGGTCATGGCCGACCCGTCCTGACCCGACCGTTGCAACCACTTGGCTGGACTGCGGGATTCCCTTTACTCCCCTCCCCCCCGCTCTCTCTCTCTCTCTCAGCCCCATGTCCCTCTGCCCAGTGTATTCCCATAGGAGCACACTGTACACATACTTCCTTGAGCAAAAGGTCTAAGATGCACCCTTTTTAATGAAATTTTGGAATTTCTTTTATAATGACTGGATATTTTTGAAAAATATTGAGTTTATAAATACTTAAATATGCCAATAAAAAACCAGATGGCCTCTTTTCACCTTCAGGATGTTATTCACATATAAAGTTAGTGTTAATTTGTTGAGAAGGTCACATCCTGTAGATCTAAAATCCTAATAATACTCTTAAATAGGTTTTCACTTGAGCAACATGCTCCTAACTAGAGCATATAATATTTGGGATTATAATTATATGATGAGAAATGATCTTATAAGACCTTCTCTATCCATGTGTGTAAGATTTCAAAGGATCACTATTAAATTTGGTATGGATTTATAAAAAAGTCAAGTTCCACACGCATGTGATAATTTTTTTAAAGATTCGTGACAATTTTAATGATGATCATTTGAGGTCCTACACACATAAGTGGGGGAGGGTCCTACAGGATCATTACTCTTATATTATATACCCTAACTTTTGATAAATGAGCCAAAATACCCTGTAGTGATGAAAGTGCAAATTGTGTTTTCTTCCCTCCTTTATTTTTACCACTTATTCTTTCTTGTTTTGAGTTTCAGTCATGGTCATGACCACTCAAATGTTTTGTCTTCTTAGTGTGAGGCGGTGTTATGACCTTTTGTAATACTAATTTGGAAATATTTTCTCAAAAAATTTTTGGATCTAAATTATTTTGTTTTCTTGATGACATCGAATAAAATTGGAACAATACTGAGAAGATTAGCATGGACCCTCAAGACTAAGTTACTTTGAGGGATGTATCTCGTATTCGAGTGACTATTATCCAAGAGATTTTGAGCTCATGTGGTTCCCATATGTTGCCTGAAAGAGAGGAAATTATTCTTTGTCCTCATTGCTTCAAAGCAAGGGCATTATCCTCAAATCTTAAAGGCTCATGCATAATGCGAATCTTTTAATCTCTAGAAAAGCTATAGACATCTTTAACAACTAGCAAATGTGAAAGTAATTTTAAATAACCATGTTTCAACCTTTAATTAAGGGAAGAGACATCCATATAAAAAGAGGGGAAAAAAAAAGTACATTCCAATTTGTATCTTTCCCTCCGATTCATAAATTTCAACTGCTAGTGGTTCTTTATAGTGCATTGGAAACTTCCTAAATACAAATTTATTAAAGAACTCTCTAATAATCAACTGGTTCAAACCCAACTAGCCCCCAATGGAAATAAGAACCAAATTCTTTTGGTAATCATAATTACTCACACTCCATCAGCCCCATGGTTGACGTTATCTTTTATGAAGAATTGCCAATAGGCTTTATCATTTTGAAATTTGAATGTCAAGTGGGTAACATAGGAATATCTAAATGCTAAATTTTTTGGAACAATAAAAAAAACTTTTGCTTAGGGCGTTGGACTAGGATCCGACCCAACAATCAAATAAAATATATTTAAATATTATGTTAAATATATTCATATATTATTTAAATATTATAACTAAAAATATATAGTTATATTTATTTAATTATTAATTTAATATTATTAAAATATTATATATTAAATATTACTCATAAAATAATCTGCTCCTCATAGACTGGGGCCGAGACCTAAACCCCGGGTCCAATTCTGACCCATTCCCAGGCCTATGTCGGGTCCAGACTCCAGGTTCCGGGTCGAGTCCGGGTCCATTGCCACCCCTACTCTTGCATTAACCTTCAACAACAACAATAATAATGAACTTGAGTCCCTTAGCACCTGAAGAGTTTTTGCCTCTTATATTTTGTAGGTTGGTCGCTAAGTTGGAAACTTTTGAGTGCTAAAAATAAATACTCCTATATAGGGTGTACCATGAGGAAGTGAGTGAACAATATGCTCCCACGATAGCATATAATCTCTTGTGCCACTAATTATTAGGGAATTTGTATAATTAGAGATAAAAGATGAATAATTTAAAACTTTACCCATATCTTTTCATTCAATTTCAATATTAGAAAAAAACAAAACAAATGGTTTTGAGGTGAAATGGTTGCAAATAGGCAAAATAATAAATAATTCATCCTTCATGAGTTTTTTTGATAAAATCTCTTAATTATTGTTACTTCTATTATGGTAAACTTAATATTTAAAAAATCACTGAGTTGGCTTGGAATCGGTGGGTCTAAGACCCCCCAATTTGGCTTGCTTCGCAAGAGTTCATTTTATTTAGTGTAAAATTCTCTTAAAAACCAGCAAATTACCTCGGGCAGTTTTGAGTCCACTCACAACTATTGGGCGATCGGTTCGACCCATCAGTCCTTTATTAGGTAGAACCCTAATAAAACACACAAAATCTATTATTTCTACGCCCACTTATATTTCTAATCATACTTGCATTTCTATTCGTCCATACACTAAGTGGCTTCCACAACACATGCCGGGTCCAAAGGAAAAACAAGGAAACTTATCGAGAACACATAAATGAAAAATAGCCTGTAGTAAGGCTGTTTTGGTTAATGGTAGGTACAAGTTAATCAATATTAATTAAAGTCAAACCTTTTTTTTAGTTTCTTTTACCATGTGCTTTGTCCTTAATTTCTCCTTATAAGGTCAAAAGTCCATTTCTCATTTATTTTTCTAAAGAAGTAAGCTCATAAAAGGGGCCATAACGTATGCACATGTAGAAGGTATATATTAAGCATGTTTATTTTTGGTTAAAAATAACTATTCGTAATTATCTATAGTCGTCAAATGTAAAATTTCGCTACTTGAATTGCACTACTAACCTTGTGTGAAGTTCGACTTCGGACTTTGTGTATAGAAAAAACACCGCCAAACTATCCAATTTCATATTTAATGATGACCTTTGTATATGGAAACTACTAGATTGTTTTTTTATAATATCATATTTATTATATACTTAAGGATGAGATTCTACATGAATAGCACCCTTATACTTAGTTATGATATTGTGATTTTCAATCCTACTGACACCATCACTGACACCTTCAAGAAACCTAACTCCTTAATCTATTTGCAAAAAATGGACAGAGTCTTTCTTCTCTATTGAATTCCCCCCCCCCCCCCAAAAAAAAAATAGATGATCCTACAAGGTCAAAGTAGTTATTAGATGTGAACTTGGGCAAGGAGAAGTATATAATTTTTCTACATAATGTCTAAAAAAAATCTAGACCATAGACTCCATGAATGGCACACCCCAACATCTGACATCTACAAGTAATTGTGACCATTTTTGTAGTAAAAGGTAACTGTCTCGCCCAAATACTCGGTTCCTGAACTTATACACACGCATATTTGAAAGGACTATACTATTCCGGACCTTGCACGTCAAAACCTAAGCAAATCAGTTATTTGAGCAAGTTCATAATGAATCATAATTTTTTACATTAATGTCCTAAAATGTTAGTTTTGTAAACTATAATGGCCAATGGTAAACAGACATTGTGTTTTTTTTTTTGAAAAAAAGTTTGGAAAAATGTCCATTTGATTTTGAACCTGGCCGATGGGACATTCTTAGGGGTGGAACGGGTCGGTCGAGTCCAGGTTTGGTTGGACCGAAAAAATGATATGGTACCCTGACCTGCACCTGACTGGATCATGGGCCTTGGACTCAGACCCAAAAATATAGTGTGGGACTAGGACCCAGACTTAGACTTGATCAAACCCGACCTAAAAATTAAAAAATCTATATATTTAACCATGTTTAAATATATTTTATAATTGGGACCCCAAAAAATATACCAGACCCAAACCCAAATGGTGTTCGAGTCCAAAATTTGAACCCAGACACGACCTGCCAGGTCCAATTTTTAGACCCATACTCAGACCCAGATATGGTGTACCCCTCCGGTCCCTAGTCCATTGCCACCCCAGACATCATCAGCTGCTCGATTCTACATCCAACAAACATGTTAAATGGCCTTATTATGTAATATTCCTCAAACCAGTGTATCCCAATTTTGAATTGACAATCCAAAATTTCCTTACAATTAGAAATGTCACCTGAATGGTTTATCATAGTAATTGATCATATCTTTCTCCTAAAAAAATAAAGCAACATGTAACTTGTAATGGCTAATACTTGCAAAAAACTGATTTATTAAATTTTTATTCTGACCCATTTTGATCAATGTCCACCAAAATTGAAGTGCAAATCCCAAACAGCATAAGATATTACATTGGGCTCTAGCAAGAAGAAATCATCACTAACTTTATCACTACTTCACTTGAAATGTCCCTGTAATTAACTTGAAGATTATTTTATTTATTCTTTTGTTGCAAATTATAAATCTTAATTATTTTAGGTTTGGGAAATTTATCAAACTACTCACAAGAGGTATCTATTGAATATTCTACCCTTTTGCAATTATTCCATGTATTTTTTAATGTGCATTTTGAAATTAAACTAAAATACATTGTAAAATAATAAGTAGTTTCTATGTCATAGTTATTTTGATAAATTTCCCAAGTGTTTTTGTCTCATGTCTCTTTCATCGTTTCTCGCTTCATCAGTTTCTCTCTCTTTGAAACTTTCCTTTTGCGAGTTTCTCTCTCTAAAACGTTCCCTGCGTTTGCGTTGGTGCAACGTACGTGCCAACAACTATTATTCAACCATTTATATATTAAGAAAATGGTAAATCTTAAATATTATGATACTTAAGACGAAAGCCGGAAAGGTAGCCGGCTCTGTGTGTTGTCCTAGAACCACAGAGGGCGTGGCTTTCTCTCTCTACTCTCTCGTTAAAAGATTTGATTTTGATTTGTTGGTATCTCTGTTTCGATCTGTGATAATCGAATCCATTCAAATTTTGAGTTAATTATCCTAAATTTGCGTGGAATTCAGACACAGACGTTTTGGATAGAGCTGATGAGCTAGTAATGGGTGGATAGATATTTTTGCAGATTTTTGTGAGTGGGTTTTGAATATATATTGGGTGGGATAAGAAATGGGTTGTTTCCCTTGTTTTGAATCGAAGAAGGAATTCGATCCTGCAAATTCTAGAGATGGGAAGAAAGAGGGCCAGCCCTCTGCTGCTCCCCATGTATCTAGAATACCTTCAGGTTGGTTCGATTCTTCTTAATTCTATTCATTTTTTTGCTGGTTTTGATCGTTGATTATTTGTTTCACTGATTATAGAATTCTCTAATTTCTTTTATCTCTCTTTCCCTCTCTTTCTCTCTCCCCATTTCTTACTTTCTTTCTTATGTTATCTTCAATAGCATTTCTGGTCACCTGGTCCGATCTGTTACTCATAGTTATTTTTCAGTGATTCCAGAATAGTTGATTGTCATCTCTCTCTCTGTCTCATCTTGAATTAGCGTAGTTTATCTAATTTCAACTAGGTATCTGAGATTAGCCCTGCATGTGTGCTTTAAGAACTAGAAAGTTTTCTATAGAGATTGACATAGTAATTCGTTTTTGATAAGTGGGTATCTGAGATTGGCCCTGTAAATGGATTTGATTTTTTTTTTTCCTTTGAATGTCTATTAATCGATCAACCAATAGAACTGGGATCACTTTAGAGTTTGTATCATGAAAAATGATTTTTCTTTTTTTTTTGTTCTAAAAGAAAAATTGAACTCTTATAATCTATTTCTGATGAGTGGGCATAGTGGAACCATGATTGCAATTGGGTGGTTTTATTTTGGTCAATCAAATGGCATTTGTCACTGCAAATTTTGATTATGGAAGAAAAAGAGCTTGATTTGAAGTTTCTTGCATTGTGGAAATGTAACTGGATCTGATCTTTCTGGAATTGAAAATTATATTTGCTTGTACGTATTATATTTATGATTTTGTAGGTTCAGATAAGTTGAAGGCAAGGACTGGTTCCGGTTCAAGAAAGGAAGCAGCTCCTCCAAAGGATGGACCTTTTGCTCATATTGCTGCTCAAACATTTACCTTCAAAGAGCTTGCAGCTGCAACAAAGAATTTTAGGCAGGAATGTTTTTTGGGTGAAGGGGGATTTGGTCGTGTCTATAAGGGGCGACTGGAAAGCACCGGCCAGGTAAATTTGGACCAAAATCAAAACTTTCCGATACACTAGTTCCTTATGTCAAATCACTAGAACCACACGGGTGCTTGATTTTAAAAAATTTGTTGTTTACTTTGTAGAGATTGTCACAGAATGTGTTTTTGATAAGTTATTGACATGAAAATGTGTTTTGGATAAGTGGGTAGGTTTTGTAGAGATTGGCATGAGGATGTGTTGTTGATTAGTGATTGACTGGAGAATATGTTTTTGATAAGTGGGTTGCTTGTAAAACGTGTGGCTGCAATTGGGTTTTCCCATTTTCGGTTGATTGAGTCATCAACCAATAAATTAGGATCAGTTTAAACTTTGCATCAAGGGAATTATTGATGTAAAACTTGAATTCTGATCATGTATTTCTAATGAGTGCACATCGATAGAATTCATATGAATAGGCTTTTATTTTTTTCATGTTATTTCATGATCTTTAAATGAATATTTATTGCATCTATATTTCAATGGAGAAATGTACTGAATTTACTTCAATGCATCCATTTTTGGGTTCACAATGGGAGCGGGTTTTGTAGGTTGTTGCTGTGAAACAACTGGACAGGAATGGGCTCCAAGGCAACAGAGAATTCCTAGTCGAGGTTCTCATGCTTAGTCTTTTACATCACCCAAACTTGGTGAATCTGATCGGTTACTGTGCAGATGGGGACCAACGGCTCCTTGTTTATGAGTTTATGCCTTTGGGATCATTGGATGATCATCTGCATGGTACGGTACCAAATTTATTTACATGGGTTCTCATGTCATGTTGATTGGTTTCTTATGCACTAGGAGCTGATGTTTTATGGGTTTTGTTTGGTTGAAACATGTACGTTGACTCACTACAATAGTTCTTAAAGTGTAGGGGCATCTACTAGTTTGCTTAGAATATATTCGAGGTACTGTAAGCCTTTGAGATTTCAGCAATATGATAGATAAAAAACCATGCAGAAAAATGCATCAAGAACCTTTATGATTTTCCTGTAGAGACTGTTGCCTAGACCATTCGTTTAATTATTCATTTTTTGGTTCAGATAAGTAATTGCTTTGCAGTTCACTATTTTTAGATGTAATGAAGATGAAGTGGAGTAAATTTTAAGTAATACACATGTTAGCTTCATGTCACTGACTAAAATAAACTCCTTTATATTTATAGTCTTCTGGCTATGTCTTTTAAGTATAGTTTGTTGCAAACCCATATATATATTTTAACTATGGGAACAGCATTTTTATTGTTTATTGTGAGAGTTATGATCCTATGAAGTCAGTAGTTCAATCTACATGTTTGATTACTATTGTCTGCCAAATGTTAAATTTTAGAAAGCTATAACCATTGGTTTTGCCAAAGATGAGGAGGTATTGGATGTGATTATTTTATTTTTATTTTATTATTATTATTATTAATTTTTTTTTTTGTGAAGTCAAACATTGTGAGGATAATTCGATCAATATTTCTTTTAAGTTATTGTCTTTTGCTGCCCACTTAACATAATGACCAATGCATGCTTCTTTTGTTTTATTTATAAATACATTCATCATGTATGATATTTACATGATATTAAATATAATTGTTTGGGTTTTTTTTTTTCCTTGGGTTTCAGGCCTTGGCATTATATTACATTTTAAAATTTATCTCTTTGTTTCACTATAGCCTGACCTAATGTGCCAAAACTTAACAAAGATTGGACAAGAAGTAAAAGGACAACATCTCTTCTGTCCCAGTTTCATGCATAGTGGGTTGAACATACCTATGAAGGGCTGGTGTCATCTAATTGACTAAGGGAGTTGGATTTTTAAACTCTAGAGGGGATATTTGGATCATTAGCTCTCTAATATTGCTCTTTATAATGTTAAAACATTGTTATGCTTAGAAAAACAAAAATGCCAACAGGTGGCTTAGGACAGTGTTTGCAAATTCAGTTGTTTCAGAAGATGCATGAAAATTTGACCTTTCTTAACAGTATTGAGGCGACATGGTTGGGAGTTACATGTTTTTCTTTCAGGTACGTGAAGTCCAAGTACCTTGTAAGTTCTCTTAAAATTACAACTATTGAAAGTGCCTAGGACATTGTAAGTTCGTTTGACATTGCATTGAAAACATGTATGATTACAGACTATTTACCATTAGACATGCTTCGGTTAGACAAATGATATTTGTTGCCAATCCTTATTTTTAGGATGAAACAAGCTCATTAGAATGTTCAAGGAGAGTTCGATTTTACATGCATAAAAAACGCCCATGGGACCATTTTCTAAATAAAGTGAAGTCCTCATGTGATTCTTTCTGTCAAAGGTCGAGGTAGCAGATATTACAGTTGTTTGACCAGATCTGTTGGGTGTCTTCTTTGTTTTCTTTGATAGTTTGAGGAATGGGGTGTTTGGGAAACATAATCAAGGATTTGATCCATGTGAGAATTGAGGAGGTGATGCTTTATATTATTTGAGAGGCAAATATTGAGGAGGTAATGCATTATTCTGTAACCAATGTGGTCTTGCTGATTACTGGATTTTCTGTATGGTGGTGGTCTGCCAGGAAGAGTTGGATGTATTCATATGAATGTGGATATGGACCTAATTGTGAAGATTTACTTGAGCATATTGTTAGCATGCTGATAGCAATATTATTTTATTTTTGTGAAGATGGGATTTTTCATTTGGTGAATAACATGGATATGGGTTTGATTTTTAGTTATGGTTTCTTGATTTCTGGGAGCTGTTTAGGGAGAGGATTCGTTTGGGAGTTCTTATGATTTGAATGGGAGGTATTGGATAGCCCTTATTTGCTTACTTTTTCTAAGTCACGCCACTAACCTAAATTGGTGTTTGTGAGTCCGAATTTTAGAGGGCTAGTTCTTTTAGTTTTGTTGAGTTGTCTCTTGTCAATGTAAATTTGTTGAATCTCTACTAAAATAAGGAATTGTGTTTTATGTTTGTTTTAATCGATTTTCTCAAAGCAACCATCTATTTGCATTTGCTATTTGTGTATCCTGAAATTATGCTTGATATCAGTGTTGTTAGTTTCTCTAGAGGAATGGAGAAAAAGTATTATGGTACTTATTTATAAAAACAAAGGAGAGACACAGACTGGATGAATTATCGAGAGATCAAAATTGAGTCTCACTATGAAGCTGTGGGAGAGAGTGATTGAGCAATGACTAAGATGATGAAACAAGTGAAATCAATTTGGTTTTATGCCAGGGAGGTCAACAATTGAGGCTATTTTCCTACATAGGCTACTGATTGAGAGTTTAGGGAGAAGGAAAGAGACCTCCACATGGTCTTTATTGATTTTAAAAAAACATACAATAGGGTACTTAGAGAGTTAGTTTGATAGGTGTTAGAAAAAAAAGCAGTCTCTAGAGGATATATTGACGTGGTGAGAGATATGCAGGAGGGCGCTAACTAGTGTGCAGACAACTAGTGGATAGACCAATGAGTTTTTAGTAACAGTAGGTACATTAGGGGTCAGCGTTGAGCCCATGTCTCTGTGTTTTGGTTATGGATGAGTTAACTAGGCATCTATAAGATGAGGCACCACGGTGTATGTTGTTTGCGCATGACATAGTTTTGATTGATGAGACCAGAGGCGGCGTAAGCACGAAGTTAGAACTTTGGAATGATGCTCTAGAATATAAAAGTTTTAGAATTAGCCGGACCAAGACAGAATATATGGAATGCAAGTTTAGTAATAATAATAGTAGAAGCAAAGTAGTTAGGATTGATGGCCAAAAAATACCTAAAAGAGACTATTTTTGATATCTTGGGTCGATAATTCAAGAAAATGGAGAGATTTAGGAAGATGTGGCACATAGAATTAGAGTTGGGTGAGCGAAATGGAGATGTGCATGTGGTGTTCTATGTGATCACCGCATACCAATGAAACTAAAGGGGAAATTATATAAGACGGTTGTAAGACCAACTATGCTTTATAGGACTGAATGTTGGGTGGTCAAGAAACAACATATCCATAGGATATGTGAAGCTGAGATGAGGATGTTGAGGTGGATGAGTGGCAAGACAAGAAAGGATAGAATTCGGAATGAATACATATGATAGAGCTTATGGGTGACTCCACTATGCGACAAGATGAGGGAAAGTAGACTAAGGTGGGCTGGCCATGTGCAGTGTAGACTTAGAACAACATCGGTGAGGAGGGGTGATTTGATTCAAGTGGAAGGCTTTAAACGGAAAAAAGAAGGCCCAAAAGGACATGGATGGGAGCAGCGAGAAGCGATATAACGACATATTGTCTGACTGAGGGTATGACTACCCTCGATAGAGTTGAATGGCAGAACATGATCCATGTAGCTGACCCCAAATAGTTGGGATAAGGCTTAGATGATGGATGATCAATATTGTTAGTTTCACTCGCTTTAGCCGAAGAGGCTAAAGACTTCAGATTTGGGCCCCATGCTGAAGCGAAGTATGAAAATCCAAAGCAAATCCAGTGATTAACTATCTTTTTGCCCTTTTCTCATTGTCTTATTAGGTACTCACACTTTTGCACCATGTTTTTCCGTGTTCAATCAAGATCCCCAACATTTTAGGCTTTTGAAATTTAGAATATTTTTGGGCCGACCCTAAATACTTGGAATAAGGCTTGGATGATGATAATGATGAATTTTAGAATATTCTTTTGATGAGAGATTTGAGGAGCCCGAGATTTTATCTTGATTTTAAGAGTTCAATGTTGATTGTCTCTTTTAATAAGTAGATTCTTGTTAATCCTTTGCAAAATTCACCATTAGATTATATTAACCATTACAAAATCATTCCAATTTGTTTGTGTTGATTTCATATAGATCTAACCCTCCAATCAGTAATGCACCCAACATACACAATAAAAAAGTGGGTGGAAATGTAATAAATTTGTGAGGAGGAGGTCTATAGTTTTGTATATCCTTGACTTCCTTAAAGTTTTCATTAAATTTTATACTATTTTGCATTAGATTTTTATCTTTATTTGTTTTGAACTTCTTTGGGATTTTAAATTATGAAAAAAGAAACCAATGTGTTCCCCAATTTGGCTAAAGTGCGAACGTGCTTTGCTTCCCCGGTTGATCTATAGAAGGCCTGAAGTGGATTTAACGACATTACTTGTTATGGTTAGTTCAAATATAAAATGGGAGCCATAGGAAAATGATCAAACTAGAAATTGCATGAGTTACTCATTTGACCATAGTTTGTTCCCACCACTGTTTCCTTGAATGGAAACATATCTTTCTCCTTCTTGCAGAAATGATTAATTAAAAAATTGACCAATGTAACAAACTATTTCAATAATTTAGAAAGGCTTCAATTGTACTAACTACAGTAAATTGAAAATAAGACATCCACAACTAGTGCTCTGGTATGCTTAGGATAGAATGGGAGATTGGCTCGATATGATGTCTCTGTGCATAGCACATGCATGTAGTATGCCTTCATGATCTTGGTATTGGGGACAACACTGCTAGACATTTCCACAAGTTCTAGCCATTGATTGGGTGCCTAGACCGATTCCCTATACTGGAGTATCATGACTGCTTTTGGACTTAGAAATTCCTCAATTTAGCAGCTGTCATTTCAAGTACTATTTAACAACCAATTGTTGGTTCATCTGTGCTTACTAAAATAGGCTGATCAACAATTACTGTGGGAACAAGAAATGGTGTGACCTTTGCTTAAATCTTTTCATTGGTGTCACTCGTTGAAATCGATATCTTCTTATTCTTTGAGTTATTAGAGTT